AAACCCTGCGCGTCCGCGTTACCCACAGGGCTCAGCAGCGCGGCGCAACGCCCACTTCCGGCGCGGCCATTTTGTTTTTCACCGCTCGCCAAGGGTACCGGCGTCCCGCCCGTCAGCATGTTCCCCGTGGCCAGGGCTGCTCTGAACCTCACCGGTAAGTCCGGAGGAGCGCGGATGCGCTGGGGGGGTTTCTCGGGATTAGGCGGTTTTGTCCCTGCCCGGTTTCTTGCCTTGCTTTCCCTGCGAGGGCTGTCCCTGAGCAGTCCCTGGGCTCGCCTCACCCCTGGGGAGGGTCGTGAGGGCGGCTGTCTCGTCGTCCTTCCTCCGCTGCCTTTTTTTCCCCCCCCCTTCCTTTTTTCCTGCCTCTTTTATCTCCTAGCTACTGTTACTTGAGCTGACCTTGGGTTCCGTTCCTCGGTGCTTCGGTTTCTTGCCTTGCTTTCCCTGCGAGGGCTGTCCCTGAGCAGTCCCTGGGCTCGCCTCACCCCTGGGGAGGGTCGTGAGGGCGGCTGTCTCGTCCTCCTTCCTCCGCTGCCTTTTTTTCCCCCCCCTTCCTTTTTTCCTGCCTCTTTTATCTCCTAGCTACTGTTACTTGAGCTGACCTTGGGTTCCGTTCCTCGGTGCTTTTCTTCCTTGATATTACCCGCAGGCACATGCAGGGCTCGTAGCCTGAGGTGGCGAGGTGTAGTCAAGGCCCAGCCCTTAAGGGTGAAGTTACCCCTCCAGTGATAGACTCCCCAGCGCTTAACCCGGTCCTCTCAGACCTTCACGATGTGCTTAGCGCGAGCTGCATGCGCCTAAAATAAACGTGCTGAGCTTTCGGTGTTTATGTTTTGTAATGTGTCTTTGCGCATGGATCGCTGTCTGGTCAAATGCTTTGAACAAAATGTCTAAGCAATTTCTCTGTTTTGAAGGTTTGTGTTTTGGTGGTCTGATTCTTCACTCTGTTTTCTCCTTAATAAGTGTACTTTTTACAGTGCACATTTATCACATACACCATACGTTCTGTCATCTGAAAATATCCTCCTGTATTTCGTTCACTATTATTTACCTCATGTGAAGGCCCACAGTTACTTCTACTGCCTTCTCCGCCTCCCTCCCCTCCCTTCAGAAATCTTGAAGGAATGAGAAGGGTGTTGCCCACTACCTTCAGCCCCTCAATTTCATGGTGAGCTTCATCCTGAAAATGCTTATGTTGGGTACAGATACTGATGATATAGATACTTACATATAGAAATCTGCAATGTTTAAGTACTAAAGAAAATATTTTATTGGAGAAATAGTAATGCTTCAAAGTGGACTTGACCTTCCACACTGAGGACCCAAAGAAAACATAGTAATGAAAAAGGTAGCTTAGAGGATTTTCTTACTGGAGTTAGACTTGAGGAATAACTTTCTGGAGAGAAACTGGCAGAGCTGAAATGAAATGCAAGGCTTCTGTATTGCTTGTGTTTTGGAATCGTTCCAAAGCCCTAAGCCCAAAAATTAAATTTTTTTCAGCTTTTTTTTTTAAAGTCTTTTAATGCTTACACTCGCCATTCTGTTGGTGGGAGATGATGACTGTGAATAGTTTGAATATATATTTATGTCTGTACTTCTAATTCTCTTTAACATTCATTAGCTCGTGGCATTCGGCATACTGCAGTAAGACAAGCTCATCGTAAATATGAGCCTGACTTTCATGATAAATACGGAAACCTGGTACTCCTTGGTGGAGCTGTAGTTTGTACTGCTGTCTGGGGATATGTAAGTTGTCCTTTTTTTCACTGCTCTGTTGTGACTGTAGCTGTAAACTTGGAAGCTATTAAGTTTCACAAGGGCTTAATTGTTTCAAATTACTGAAGTGGTCAGAATTCAGGAGCTTTTTGTGTAAGTGAATAGTAACGTGACAGAGGTGAAAGTCGTGTTAGTTCATATTTTGATATTGTTAGACAAATTTCTGTGTATCGTTTGATTTTAAAATGTAGTAGAAACACAAGTGTTCTCTATTTTACTTGGGATTTCGAAGCTGTACAGGTAGAGATTTTAGCAGAATAAATTTATAGATGAAAATAACAGTATGGTGATGGGGTTTTACATTCCAGATTCTTTGTTCTGAAACTAGGTATTTTGAAATAGAGAAATTAAGTATTTTGACATTATTCAATATAAATGTATTCCACTTGCTTTATTACAAAGTGAATGAGATGTCATGTTCTAATGCAAGAAATCTAAACTGAAAACAATAGAATTACCCCTCTATTGGAAGGTTTCTTTGATTTCTGAGTCAATAATTTTGATTTTTATCCTCCTACAGGTATTTACAAAAGGTGGAATGGAGTGGGGCTTGTCACCTGTTGGCAGGGTCACGCCGAAAGAATGGAGGGAGTAACAGCCTCTGCTTATAATGAACTTTGGGCAGTGGCATGCCTGGTCTAATAAACATACCTGGAAAACTGCCTGGCTCTTTGGGGTTTCCTTTATGCTCAGTGTCTGCTGCAGTGTAAGAAACAGTGTAAAAATTCAAGATAATTAAATCATATTTTAGGTAGTTCCAGTTGTTCCAGTAAAGGTAGATTGTGGCTAATGGACAAATCCAAAACATTGTACAGTTGTGCGCTTGAATGAACCTGCCGTGCGTTCATCCCACGGAGTTCCCATCGCTTCACCTCTGGCTTCTGCTGCACGTCGAACGACAAAGCTGAGATCCCGTTTTTTTTCCCGCAGAAGTGTTTTTATGGCTTGAGTCACTGCAAATAAGCCGCTTCTCTCCGAGGCGTCCGCGAGTGGTAAAGGACTTAAATTATCGAGTCAGAGGCGCCCACAGAAGGAGGCAGTGTCCCAGCACTGCTGCTCGCTGGTGCCGAGAGAAATGAGACTTGTATTAATGAGTTCCTGTGTGATCAAAGCTCATTAGGAAATAGATGAGGGGCTGGTGCAGACCCTAAAGCTCCGAGTTAGCCTCAAAACCACACCTACCCTGCCTTTCGATACAGCAGAGATGCACGAGATGGCTGCCCTCGCTCTCCTCAGAGGCTTTAATTACCAGTTCCTCCCCGGCGCGGAGGTGAAAGCCCTGGCGTGGCCAGCGGCTGCGGGGACGATGGCGGCCGGCGCTACC